GTGCCCCCTGGTGATGGAATTGCTGGGGCATGAGGGGACAGGATGTTCTCAGGGCCAAACATCTGTGTCTCCCATGGTCTGTAGTATACTCTGTAACTTTTGTGGTTTTTCAAGGATGAGGAACACCACTGGCAAATGGCCTGAGGTCCTTTGTTGACGAGGTGGCTCTCCTGATACCTGGAGGGCCCTGTTCTCCATGGACCACACAAACAATAAGATTCTTAACAGCAGGGACTGTGTCTCAGATTCTATCCCCACAGCACAGTGCCAGGTACACAGGGCTATAGAAAACCTCGTTAATGAGGTTTGCTATGCTAGGCTCAGGGTAGATATAAAGATGGGCCAGATCCAGTACACTCCACCTACAGCAATGAAATGAAAGCCCTGTGTGGTGTTGCAGGAGGGTAGGCCTGGCTTCAGAATGCTAAGCTTCTAACCTGAGTGACGCCACTCATAGCTTGCCTCAGTTCTTTCGTACCTTCTGGTTCAAACCCAATGCTATGAAATCATTAGAACACAAGGCAGAGGGTGAAAAGTACCTGAAGTGTTACCAAAAAGGTAAGAGCTTCTTTTCCAGTCTTCTCAAACTCAATTCATGGTACACCCGATTGCCCAAGCCAAAACCAGGAAGTTGTCCTTGACCCCTCCCCTCTCACCTTCGAGTCCAAAGAAATATCAAATTCTCTTTCCAAATTCTACTTACAAAATGCAGCTGAAGTCCAACCTCTCTCTATATTCCCCACTGCCATCGCCAGGGTCTGAGCTACCATTATTTCTCATCTAGACTGCTGCACTCCACTTAATCTTTTTAAAACACAGGTCTGATATGTCACTCTCTTACATAATACCTTTCAGTGACTGTCCATTGCTCTTAGGATAATGAAACAAAACAAAACCCACATCTTAACATTGCCTGCTAGGCTCTGCATTACTTGGTCTCTGCCAAACTTTCCTGTGTTATGCCTAGGTAGTTAGCGAAGTTTCTGGGGAGCCCACCAGATTAAGGCTCCATACAGAAGTTGTTCCCTTTGCCTGGAACATTGTTTTTGCTGATCAATCCTGATTCATCTTTAAAGTCAGCCTAGGCTTTGCTGCTTTCCAAGGCCTCCTGGTCTAGGCTAAAGTGTCCTCTAATTCTACATGGTACCAGTTATGATGATCGTAATTTAAATATTTGTCTTTGCACTTGTTTTTTAATGTTTACTCTCTTTGCAGCAGTCGGTTTTATCTCAGGTTTTATTTGCCTTGTTCCACTGCTGTAACCACAGCATCTAGTATAGTGTCTGACTCTAGATGACCGACTGACTGGATGAATGAATGAATGGGATGTCCAAGCAGGGGAGCAAGAAAGGTATCCTAGAAAAACAGCGTGGAGAAAGAGATAGTTATGTTTGGAAACTGCAAGAGTCACAGGTCTGGAATAAATGAGGTGACAGGAATCTTCTCTTGCAATTCGGATCATTCAGGCTTCCTTTTCCTTCCTAAAAATCATTGATTCAGCCCAACTCCATCTAAACTTCTCCTCAGTATGGTTTTTTGTCTAGAGAGACCAGCTGCTCACCCAACTGTCCTGGTCTCTCTTCCTGTTCCATTCTCTATACAGGCCCACTGCCCCTCCAGTCCACTTTCCCACCACACCCTTGGATTTATGTAACTGAGTAATTGTGCGATGCTATAAAACTAATTTGCACTTCTGCTTGGGCAGTGAAGTAGCTAAAGCTTTGTAGTTTGCCTCAAGAGGCAGAGGAAAACATCCCCAGCTCCCTCTCAGACTCAAAGCACAAGTAGCCAGCCCTATCTGCAATGGCCCAGTAACAGAGTGCTAAAACAGAACCCAAAATAAATGCCAGCCATGGAAAGAAATTGAAAGAATAATCTTTCTATTGTGCAAAGACAAGCTCCCTATCACATTCTCCCCATTTCCTGATAGAGTTCACTGGTTCGGTTTCCCTTTTGACCTTCCACAGGACTCTGTTAGCACCTGTTTTCTCGGTCACAGATTGGGAGATGGTGTGGCATTTCTCTTCCTGCCAACTCAAGGCACATCAAGATGGAAAAGCAAAGGGCAAGTGCCTACCAAGGTTTGGCTGCCCAGTTTTGGAGGTCTCAAGCAGCATGAAACTGGAAAATCTAAAGAGAATAAAGAGAAAAAGTGTTCCTGAATGAGTGTGTGTGTGTGTGTGTGTGTGTGTGTGTGTGTGTGTGTGTGTGTGTGTGTGGAGAGTGGGCCAGGGGAGGAGGAAGGCAATGTAGATCACACAAAGATTTAATATTTGATACCATGGGAAGAATAAACAGTATTAAATAATATTAGCCACCGTATACTGGGCCTTTACTATGTGCCAAACATGCTGTGAAGTGTTTTGAACTCAATATTTCATTTAATTTTTAAAACGACCCAGTGAGATATTTATGTGTCCATTTTACAGATGGAGAAACAAGCTCACTGAATTGCACAGCTTTTGAGTAGCCAAACTGCAGGACTGAGATCCTGATGCTTTTGCTTTGAACCACAACTCATAACTGCTTTCCTAAGGCTAGAAATCAGAAAGAAAAGGAAATTGGTTTATGGTGTAGCAGATTAGGGCCATTTGGTTGTTAGGGCCATTTGGTTGTAGTCAGGGTAATTAGGCTTGTTAGAGCTCTTCCTCTGAGGGCCTTTACATGTAAGATGAATGGATGCTTCTATACCTGGCTAGTTTAAGGGAAACATTCTGTGTTCGCACCACGGGGCTGGCCTGTTTGAACTGACAGCTTCACTAGGGTATGATATTGCCACACATGAAACCATGAGATTACAGGAGAAGGTAGCACAGGATGTGTGCCCAAATGGGGCTGGAAGAAAGCGAGAGCCATAGGCAGGCAGATGCTACTGTGGTTAAAAGCAAGAGCTCTGTGGTCAGGCAGACTTGTGTTTGAGTCCCTGCTGGCTCTCCGGCTTGTATGACCTTGTGTACGTTACTTAACCTCTCTAAGCCTCGGTTTGCTAGTCAGTAAAAAGAGGCTAAGAATAGAACCTATTTTGGAGGGTTGCCATGAAAATTTTAAAAAGATGATACATGTAAAGTGCTTGGTACAGAACTTAGACATAATAAAGATACAATGAATGGTAGCGGCTATTATAACTGTTATTGCTGGAGTACAGAGGTAGGATAGTGCAATATGGAGCAGAGCTATATGTCAGTCTTAAAAGAAAAACATAGTTTGATTCGTGGTTGAACTAAAGAAGAAAGTTGATTATGGGGGAAGAGGTGGTGGAAAGAGATGAGGTCTTCTATCCTTGTTTCTAAACGAATAATTTTAATAGAGACAGAGACAGCCTCAGAGACCT